AGGGACCTCAGTGCTGGGAATCTGAAGTGGATATATCAAGTCCCTATCTTAGCAGCCATTGTGGTAAGAACCCTCTTGCTGAGCTGTCCTCACTCCAGTGCCAACTCCCCAAGTCTGTCCAAAACACAACCGCCTGGATCCCATAGAAATGGCACATGAACTCCTCTTTCCATGGTAGTTCTCAGGCATTTACTAGAGCAAAGGTGGCCAACCTGTGTCATGCATGCCACAACTGGCATGGGCAGCTGCTATGTGTGGCCTGCAACCCCCTGGTGTTTAGTAAATGGAGATGCCTGGAGGCAGGCAGGGAGCACAGCCCTTTGTGGAAGAGGAGGGACAGGAGACTGCTGTGAGAGGTGAAGGTGTTAACCCCTCTCTGGCCCTCTAGCCATTGAATTCAAGTGTTAGATCCTCACTCACCATGTAAAACAGAGGTGGTTGTGGGTTAACTTGGCTTTTGGCAGGGGCATCTCCTCTGGCAGCAGTGTCATCCCTCAGCTCTGTACAAGTGAAGGCTCAAGCCCCCCTGCCTCCATTCAGGCATCCCAGGGTGCAAGCTGTATCAGCCACACCACTGGGGAGTGGGGACCATAGTGGCACACCTGCCAAAGCAGGAAATTTGCTCAGCTGGCCACACTCTAGGCCTGGCTGATAATGTGATTGTGGGCATGTGTTGGCAGGTGAACTTCTTCCTTTTCCTCAACATTGTGAGAGTTCTGGCATCCAAGCTCTGGGAGACCAACACAGGGAAGCTGGACCCTCGGCAACAATACAGGTGGGCAGCTTGGTGAAGGGACATGTTGAATAACCACAAGAGAATGAAGCCTTCTGCTTCTGGGTAGGAATCATTTCTGACTGGACCCTGGGGCAGAAGAGAGAAGCTGTAATAACACATGGCTCTTTTACATGGCCCAAGATCACCTCCTCCATCAGAGGTAGGGACAGCACTCCGGTCTTCTGAGTATCAGTACAGAGTTTTCACTGCTGCCTTGTGCAGGGTGGCATCCAGCCGCCAGCAGATGATACTGCAGGGGACGTTTGACTTGAAGCCATGTCCGTTCAGTCATGTGGGCAACCAGAGTCAGTTTGGGGTAAGAGCAGGAGGGATCTTCCCAATGAGTCAGTTTTCCCCCTGAAGCTCAAGGCACTTTGTAACTTTCTGGTGTAGCAGTGGGAGCAAATATCACTTGTTGAGACTGAGTACTGCAACCAGAGGCTTTTTTGTATGTTATATTAAGTCCCAGCCTGACCCTCTTGCCTTGGGTTGGGAGCTCAGCATTTCTTCTGACACCTCTAAGAAAAACCTGCTGGTGCTGGCAATCTTTTTTCCCAGTGAGTCCATATTAAACCGATGCCTTAGCAGCCCTGTGCCATTCCACTGAGATGCTGGATGTTCATAGGCATGAGAGATCCCAGGGCCTTTTCCCTAGGGTGTACGCCTCAGCAGCTTTTTCTAGACCCGTCTCCCCACCACTCCCTGGCAATTTCACCTTCCCTTTTTAGCCTGAATTGTTGTCTGCTGTGTGTGCAGTGTTAAATCATCTGCCGTGTTCTTCTGAGAGGTGGCTGCCTTTCAGAGGCCATTGAAGACCCAGGAAAGCCATCTTCTTGGAAGGAAGGCACTCTAGAAGCATGCGGTGGCAGTTGCTTTATCCAGGGTACTGTACTGTACTGTAATCCTGGCAGTGGCTGAAAAGCCAAGAACAGGAGGTTGTGGAAAAGCAGATGCACACTAACCCCCCTGGAATGATTTCACCTCTTAGGAAGCTGCTGAAGTCCACCCTGGTGCTGATGCCGCTCTTTGGAGTCCATTATGTGGTGTTCATGGCAATGCCCTACACGGACGTCTCCGGGGTCCTGTGGCAAATACAGATGCACTATGAGATGCTCTTCAACTCCTCTCAGGTTTGTCCATGCTGGGAGGTGGGTCATGCCCAGCCCCCCCTGCCCCAGCACAACCCAGCTCCTGCTGTATGGTTCTGGCAAGAACCAGTGTGGGACCCCATCTTCCTTTGCAAAATCCTCCTTTGTGAAAGCTCTTGGAGATCCATGTGTGTGAAAACTTGGGCAGAGGTGGCTCCAGCTCAGCCTGCTCTGTGGGGCCCTGAAATTGGCCTTTGCTTTTCACATCTTCCCTTTTGCTGGCTGCTCTGCTGAGTCTGCCAAGCCATTCTGGGTAGCTCTGCTGGTTTTGAGCCTGGTTGCAGCTGCCCTGCATAGTATGGGGATGGCTGGTTCAGCTGAACAGGCTGTGAATGGGAACAGGCTGAGCAAGGCAATTCTTCCAGGGGAACCACTGCTGCCAAAACATGAGGGGCCAGGGAAGCAGGCTAGTCAAAGTGCCACAA